CATTAAGAACAGCTATCAAGCTTCAACATATGATTTAAGTACCCCACTTACTCTTGACTTGTGTTTAGGTATTAGTTTAATGCAGTTATATACAGCTTCCTTCCTAATTATCCTAAAATGTGAGAAGTATACTACATAGGATCATGCAAAACAAGAAAAAAATTCAGCTCTTCGTATTAATGAATATAGAAACCATAACAAAAAGCTCAAATAATAAGAAAATAATTTGATTTTAAGAGGAATTCTAATTATTGCATATTTCTATGTCAATTTAGAACTTTTTGCAGTATGGTGTGAAAGCCATTGGGCATTACAGATGCCCACATCATCTAATTTTAAAAATTAAACTCAATTCTAAAGAGAATATAAGCAATAATTTAAATATATAATTATATGTTAAATATTACCCTGAAATGTGAAAAAAGTACACCTTCAAGAATTCCATGATGGTGTTACATTTAATCTGCTAATTAAGCCTTTATAGACACTCAATATTTAAATCTTTAGACCACTAAAACAGAGTAGTGTAAATTCAGTTTCATATTACAAAGCCTTACAAAAAATGTATGCTTATAAATTAATAAGGAAATAAAGCACCTCACCGCATATACATGCTTCGCTCCTGCTTTTGCACAGAAAAGGGACAAAATTCCTGTCCCCGCACCAACATCAAGTACCACTTTGTTTCTGAAGATGAAAGCATTTTGATATATAACATTTTGATAAGTTTTGGTTCGAACAACATCTTTCAACATTTCCTGCATATCAAAGGTGGAAGATTAGACATTTCTGAAACTAGATGCTTGGGTATATCTTGCTTCGAAATCTCCTTCAGGAAAGATCAAAATAAAGAAGTTCATTAACTAAGTTATATAAAAGTCTGAGTAAAACAAATGCAAGAAGTTTATCAATATCATCATTAGCCTCATCTCAATTAATGGACTACCCTTATGGTATAAAAAAGGAAGCCCAGTTTTCATGATTATAAAAATAATTAAATAAATCACCTACCTTTTTTTTTGTTGTTGATCATCAAATATAAAATGCACAAGGATTAGCAGAATTTAGAGCACCCAATCCAGTCTAGGCAATTTAAAGACACCAACAGGCAGCTAGTGCATAAACAATATATTTTAAAAATTTTAGAAATAAATATCAAATTTGGGGATTCATGTAAAATAAACCTTTTTATATCTTTATGATAAGAACTTAAAAAAAATGCACATTTTTTTTGTGAACCAACTTTGCATAATAAGAAATGAAATTTAATTTAAATGCAAGTAATACTAGCTAAAAGGACATACTTAAGAAATAAAATAATAGTAATAATAATGATAATAATAATAATAATAATAATAATAATAACAAATAACAAATAAATAAACACATAATTCAGGAGATTATTCAGAATATGATCAGCTTGTTAGCCAACAGAATCATAAGGAACTTCAATCTGCTTGCACTCAAATCACCAACTGAAAGGAGTAAAAACCAAGTAATCTTCTTGTAAATTTGTAACTCAACGCCGCCAAATGAGAGCATCCAGTTCATAAAATATCAATAATGCATTTGCTTTTGAATGTGATCAATTACTTACTTCATGAATACCTGTAAAGGGAAAGAAAATAGAAGATAGTAAGCTCTCCTAGAGAATTAACCTAGACATGAAAACTCCAATCAATGTTCATCAAATAAAAATTCACATGTTACAAGAGAAATACTCAAATATAATAATATTTTCAATAAACATGTGAGATAAAATCGAGCAAAAAAGTATGTAAGCCCCTAGCGTAATCCAACAAAAATCTTAAAAAAAAAAAAACTAGGTATAGAACACAACTACTAAATAACTAATAAATACACTGCACTTATCTTATGTATTTACATATCTCACACCTAAACTTTCATATTTACAAACATAGCACTCAAATCTTTAATACCTAATAAAAAATAGGACTATTATCACTTTTAAAAAATGAAATCCATCTTTTTATGCATAGGTTTAAAGCACAAAAAATGCTATGTATGCAACTATAAAAATTTAGGTGTAAGATATGTAAATACATAAGAATTGTGTGTTGCATATGTAAGTTTCCCTTAACAAATATACTAGTACTGCAACATCAGCAAAAGATGGTACTGAACAAAATTACTAAATAATATGCAAAATCAAATTTTCATCTATCAAGGAGTAGAATATCCCCCATTACTAATGAAGAATAATAGTCCTTCATGCAACAAGAAGCTCCAGTAGTTGGGAATTGGGATAAAGTTAACGTGATGATGAAAATAATGTAGAAGCCCTATAGACATATTTTTTTAATGGGATTGAATCTCTATTTGGAAAAAAAAAAAGTCTAAAAAGCATGTAGAGGGTCAAACTAATAGTCTGGTCATTCTTTCCAACCAATTATGTAATTAAATGCATAAAAGGAAGGGGGGGTGTTGATGTCGTGTGCAAAATAAATATCAATTTGCAAAGATCAATAACTAAAAAACTACTTGAATGGTGAAAGAAAGTAACTAATAATATAATAGTTAAATATTTAATCACATGGAAGTAGGGTCAATGCTTTAAATTAAATAACTAGGTAATTCTTAAATTGTTAAAAAACAATAATATACTAATAACTAACTTGATTCAGACACCAATTTGCTTAGTCATCAATAATAAGAAGAAATCAATTTTATATTGATTAGTTTCTACTTATAGGAATGTGGAATTACCTAATTAATAGCTCAACTACTCTTTAATTCTTAATAATAATTTGAATATTTGATCAAATGAGTATGTTAATTAAACATAAATTAATTAGCTAATATCAAGTTAAAATAACTAATTAATCATTAATATCAAAATTTAGTTGTATAAATGTAGACCTCTAAATCAGATGAATACTTCATTAATAATTTAAGAGTTATTAGGGATGCTAAAGTAGTTTGTCCAACACATCATTTTAATGAAATCACACTAAGCAGTGCCAAATGATTAGACAGAAACATATTGCTATCAAAACTAAAGAAAAATTTCAAGATTGTGATGATTGTTGAGAAATCAAATTTAAAACAGTGTACTCATGTTAGGGGTAGCATTAGAATAAAGGCTAAGAAAATTGTGTTAGTACTGGAGTAACAATTGGATTTTATTCAAGTAATAATTACCATGGAATGATTTTTATACTATGTAGTTGGTTGAAAAACATAAAGAGCGACCAGAGGATCTTCATTATTGATCTTAAAAACAGGGATCAAGTAGTTGAGAAATAAATTGAAGAGTGTCAAGAAAAAAAGATGCTAAATTAATAACCTAAATTATTACTTCTAAAATCAAGAAAAACCTATGTGTGATACGTTTTAGTTTCTAGATTAATTATTCAATTAAAAAGAATATCAATGACAATAAGACCATTGAAAGTAAAGCAACATGAATAAACAAAAAAGTGCCTATGTATGCGATGAGAAAATATCATGATATTCAAGGTAAATTTTACAAAATTTAACTAAACCAATGATGCTATAAAGACCAAAGCATTGAGATAGAAAAAGTCACTTGTAGAAAAATTAAGAGTTGCAAGCATGAGAATCAAAGAATGTGCTAAAACTAAGAATGATGGAGTGGCTAACGATTATATTAGAGAGATAATAAGATTACCTACTAAAGATGTTGTAGCAGAAAATAGGATTTGGAAATCTGAGCATGCAAATTCGTGGGTGAAGGAAAGAATATTGACCAATAAGACGTGAAGATAGAAGATCTAATGTAAGAAGATTACAAACTCCATAAGAAATAAATTGAGTCCAACAAAACGACGTTAAGGAAAAAATAGAAAGAGAAAACACATGCAGCCGGTTTCAAATAAATTGGACAGAGTCAATCAATAATACTGATGATAATGAACAACCTTTAGTTTATCATTGCCACAACTTAGTTGCAAAATTATTTAATTTTAATAACTGCGTTACAAAAACAACATTAAAGCTAGATGATCAAGTTGTACAGGAATAGCGTGAGAGGTGTTGAAGATTTGTGAAGATCTGAATAAAGAGAATGCGCAAAAAAATCAAAGAAAGCAAGTGCTAAATCCATCATAGTGACTGAAAGAGTACTACACATATGGATGTGTAACAGACACAACAGTTAGTTGGTTGTTTGTTTGTTTTGTAACTGATTTCTATTAGTTAATTGGGAAAAAGCTGGCAGATATGATGAGCTCTTAAAAGTTTTGTTTTGTATGTCAACAGTCGCTGTCCTGTTCTATTAGTAGAGTTAGTGATGCATTATACTCAATTAAAGAAATAAATAATCTTTTTTGGCCCACTACTTTCGTTCCTAGAGTCCATATCTATTCGAATGGATATATTCCTGGTACTTTCCCTGTGTGACGCACTAGGATCGTATCAGGTTGTTTGATAACAAGTGAATAATGCAACCTCTTTTAACACCAAACACCACTAAGGATTAATGAACGCTACCAAATTTAAAATTCTCAAATATTAACAACGTAGTTAATGGAATTATAATCACTCGTTCAAACATCTAATCATCTGTTTATTAGCTAGACTTTTAAATAAGACATTGCACAACTAGCCACCTGGAAGCAAAGCACATATGGGAATGCGGATAAGAGAAGAATAAATACCGAAATGGGAGTAGGAGTCAAAGTAGTAATCGGCGCTAGTCTTATCGCTACCAACAAGGGCTTTGACCTCCGGCGAGTCCTCAAGATTGGAGCTTTCAGTCCGCTCCTCCGCGACATCCACTACTTCATCGTTGACGCCGCCACAGGTGGCGTCAGCGACGAGAAATCCATTGCTATAGCTGCTCTTTCCGCTGCAAGAAGCCGAAGATTTGTTCCCGCCCCTTCTCTTGCCCATTTCGTGGACGATGAAAGAAAGGGATACTTGCTAGGGTTATGCCAGATAAAGGGATCTCTGCGACCTGAAGGTTTTGTTTTGAGGTGCGCCGAATCCTCTCCGTTCATTCAAAAAACTCGGATGAGCATGATCGTTGATGGTTCCCCGCCACTGCTCACTACTTGCCTATATTTTCGCAAACTAATTTTTTATTTTATCATTCTGTTTGTTGCAGTATTGCGGAAGCTAAGGGGTATTTACCAACAAGCACCAAAAACCCTGATATTTTACTTATTTATACTTTAACCTAAGTATTTACATGCAAATCTCCTAAACCTTTGGAAGTGCTCAACTTATTTTATTTTTTTTTTTTTTTTGTAAAACCCCTTTATTCATGGGGTGAGTTTTATTTCAACAAAAAAATAAAGTACAAAAAGAGTCAAGGAGAATTCATCGACACACCCATAGAACTCAAAAAAGAAAAGAAAACTTAAAAACTTAAAGGTTCTTCTCCCTAACAAAAAACAAAATACAACTCACACTACCCACTAATCCAAAAACTCAAAAAGGACCAAAAATAAAATGAAGAATTAGAGTAAATCAGCACAAATTAAAGACATAAGAACCGAAGGAATTTCCTGAGAGATGACGTAGACCGGAGATAACTCTCCAATTTAGCTATCAGATCTACCCAACTTGTTACCTTCTCTTTTTGTATGTATCCATAACATGTTCAGCTCTTTTGTTAACTCCACAATCTTCTTCAATTGAATATTAACACTCCAATGATGCATTTCCCTCCACTTGCAATTCTTCCAAATTAGTAAATAATTTGTTTCAATATTTATAATTTTCCATCCATAATGTTTAACAAGCATTAAGCCAAAAATTATTGAATCTGCTTCCACCACAAGAGGTCAGATAGGCACAGATGCGGAAGCAAACCAACAGATGACCGAACTAAGGAAGTCCCTAAAAGACTCCACCCACTCCCGTAGAATTGTTCCCCCTACAGCCATCGATTTCATTCTTTACATGAGTCGTCGGTTTGACCCAACACACTAAATATTGCTTACCAATTCCAGGCTTGGAAAAGAGTCTAAGATTATTAGAAACACCTTTCAACTGCTCAGCATTGAATCCATTAAAAGTCAATATATTAACAATGTAATTGGTAATCATATAGAAAGTATGATTAATATTAAGAACCTCTTCATGATACTTGTTCCTATTACGCATAAACCAAATAAACCAAAATACAATTGAAGGAATATTAGTCAAAAAAGGATAACCAAAAGACCTCTGGGCATCAAAGATATCCCAGCAATTATTATAATTACCAGCATGTCAGTTCTTACCAAAAAAAAAACACTAACCTTCCTCCAAACTTGCTTCACAAATTGGCATTCAATAAAGATGTGATGAATAGATTCTTCATCAGCTTTATATAATAAACAACAAGAGGGAATTTTAAGCCCTTTAAATTTTAAAATATCGTCAACAGGAAGAAGATTATGAATAATTCTTCAAGTAAAAAAGGATTAAGATAGTTTAATCCACTTATTCCAATTCCAGGAAATATTCAAACCTTGATACGATTGAAAGGAATTAGAAGAAGTTTTAGCACAAGTTTCTCCAATATTTCTACTGAGTTTTGGAATATCAAGATTCCCTTTACTAGTGGGAATATTGGAGAAAATTTCATGTCATCTTTTTTAACTAATTGCTTTAACATACTAATGTTCCACCCACTATCAGTCCAAAGCTCATTACTTTTCAAATTTATATTTTGAGGACCCCAAAACAATCAGCAAGATTTTTGTTTCCAAGCCAATCATCATACCAAAAAGAGATAGTTCCATCACCAATATCCCAATTAATAAGATATTCGATATCCTTAGAAACACGAAACATGTTTTTCCAACTGTAAGCATCAGAGTTAGCAGGAGAAACTGATAAAGGATGCTTACCAATGCAATATTTAGTTGATGTAACAGGTCTGCAGATTTTTTTCTTTTTTAATTATGTTTTTCACCTACCATTTTTAGGAAGATTTAATAAGTTACCACTTAATTCTATATTCATAAATAACGCCCACATTTAAATTTTTGCAAATATGACATCTAATTTTTACATGAAAAAGTGTAGTTAATTTTTTTTTAAAATTGCAATAGTTATATTTTATATGAAATGAAAGATTTGAGTGGTACAATTGCAAACTTTTAATTTAATTATTAAAAATATAAATACATAGGAATTGAGTGCTATGCATGTAAATGCCTCATTTTTTAAATAGTCATCCACAAATTTCTATCTTTAAACACGACTCTCAATGTATGACATGAATCTCAAAGCATGATGCAGATCTGAAGGTAATTTTTTGAAAAAGAAACATTCGAACTTTGATTGAAAATCATTTAGAATTTTAATTTCAGAAAACTTACAGTCAAATCGACCGGCTCGATTAAACGACCTCAAATAAAATCAAATAAAAATAATTAGTTTAACTTGAAAACAAAGAACATCTTAACAGATACTACATGACACAATAAAGTGACACAATATAATTGAAAAAACTAGGACATGGTACAAAAAACGAATGATCGTAGGCCATTAGACTAGCCCTAGGCATCCCTAGGTGTGCTAAATATTCGAGCATCACACCCTACACACGAGAACACCCTACACACGGAGGGATTCAAACCTGTGACCTGAGGGGACTTACGACCTTCAGAGTGGTTGTTTTACCAATAAACAGCAGTATGTGTGTGTGTGCGCACACACACACACACACAGATATATCGAATTTATACTATTATTGAATAAACAGAAATATTAAATATACTAAATCCTTAAGCTAAATGAGGACATACAAACCAGGACGTAAAGTTTATACTATTCTTGTGCTCTGTAGAACCAGAATTTTGCTCATATACCAAATTTCTAAAAATGTAAAGTGTTAAGCTCTGTAAGTTTATACTATTATTATTCCAATCTTGTGCTCTTCCGGTCACTTCCAATTTTCTTCGTCATCTGACCCTTGATTAGAGACTGACATGTTGTCCTCTGCTTCGAATAATTCTTTCATCGGTTTCTAATAAAATTCTTGTATTCTTTGTTTGATTTGATCCGGAGATTCACAATGATATTTCCTTTTAACTTTTAAGATATTTCCTTTTAATTTGATCATGAATTTCCTTAAGTGAAAATTCTTGGGATCTCTGTTCTCGATTATTTTCGATATTAGAATTAATGACTTTATTAACTTGAATTATTTTATCACCAACAACGATTTGTGAACACCATTTGATGAAGAAGGTTCTCCATAATCCTTTAATATTGACTCTATCTTGTTGATGACATAGATTCCAAGCAAAGATCCATGGAAATTGTGCTTGGTAGAAGAATAATAATTCACACATTCCATCGGCTAGAATTTCATTTTTTATTTTGTCGAGTTGTGGAGAAGAATTAACCCACATTGGATAGAGATTATTGATGGGTTCTGGAAGAATTTCATTGGTGTCTCCAAATTTTTCCCACCATTTTAAAACCAATTTGGTATTTTTTTTATTCAAAATTTCAGGCATTAACACAAAAAACCAAGAGTGTTTATGCTTTGGATTAATAAACAAGAAAGCTCGATTCATAGCTTGGACATAGGTCTAGTAATTAAAAAAATGATTTTTTTCTGATTACTTACAGGATGAATAAATTCAACCTCTTTAATCTGGAAAGGAGTTAAACCCCAATCTCTCTGATGCAAGATGTGATTTATTGTCACCTTGCAATATGCAATAAATTTATTTGGCTCATTATAATTATGTTGAATTTCAACACATTGTAATGAAATGAGGATTGTCTCATACAATTCTCGATCAAGACTATCTTGAGCGACAATTGTGCCTAAATACCTTTCCTCGATTTTCCAAGGATCCTTAGTTTCATAATCCTCTAAATTGATTTCAATGATTTTTTCTTTCATTATTTTTTGCACAAATTTTGTGACTTCTTGTATTTGTAAATCCTGAGATTGAGGAGATTTAGTTCTTGATGTGGAAGTCATTGGACTACTATATAGATATTGTTGTAAATCAACAAATTTTTGTGGAGCCACATTAGGTTGGTCCCTATCTCTCCCCCCTCTAAAGGTGAAAGCACCCCGTTGGGGTGTGATTTTAACCCTTTGATGAGGGGTGATCCACCCCTCCTTGTCTTTCGCCCTAAAAAAATTGACGAGTGAGAAAGTCATGTAAAGTAAAAAATTAGTATTACCTGCAATATATTCTATATCAAATTCAAAACAAGATGATTGAGCTTGTCAATTGGCAAAAATTTATTTAGAGACAAGATTTTTTACGTCTCTTTGCAGTATATACTTAAAAAAACTGCAATCAATTCTTAATAAGAATTTTTTATTTAATAAACTACCAAAAACATTTCTTTTTTTATGGTTGAATATTTTTCTTAAGTGGTATTCCACTTGCCAGATGTAAAGTGAACTAATTGTTCTTTATTAAAAGTTTTTTGCTTTAAGATACCTCCATAGCCAATATTAGAGGCATCTGTCTCTACTATTTTAAGGAGAGACGGATCTGCTATATGTAAATAAGGTAACATTTATACCTTTTGCTTAATTAATTGAACAACTTTAGTTTGATTTTCTGTCCATGGATTATGTTGTTTCTTTAATCTATTATAAAGAATAGCAGCATCTAAAGCAAGATTTATATAATAGTCCGCTACATAATTGAACGAACCAAGAAATCTTTGTAATTGTCGAATTACAGTGATTTCATCTGGAAATTTAGAAGAAAATTCAATGCTTCTTTTAATCAGAATAATTGTATTTCGGATAAAATTATATCCTAAAAACCTTATTTTTGTTTGAAATAATTTCATTTTGGACGCATAGATTACAAGCCCATTATTTTTGGCAAGTCATTGAAAAGTCTGTAGATGTTTAAAATGTTTCTCTATTGATTTAGAGAAAACAAGTACATCATCAATATAAACTAATATATAATCAGAATATGGATTGAAGATTTCATTCATAATTTTCTGAAATTCAGAAGGAGCACTTTTTAAGCTAAATGACATAACATTCCATTCATAATGACCAAACGGAACATTAAAAGCCGTTTCA